TCAAAAAGTGCATTAACAGTGTCATAATCAGGTTCATCAGAATCTTCTGAGTTTTTTTGAAATGGTGTAGTTAATTCGTTGAGGCAGAACATAACATTTTCTTGATCTTTGATCTATAAAATTAATAATTTAAAATATTTTCACATTACCTATACTATGTATTAATTACATATGTGGTAAATATCTATCTTTTATGTCAGCAAGAAAGTACTTAGAAAAAAACTGATTTTGATAGAAACAATACCTTTATATTTCATTACTCTTTCTTAACCACCTTTTCAAACTGTCTTCATTTAAAAAAAAAGTTTTCTGGATTGGAGAGATGGCTCAGCATTTAAGAGCACTGACTGCTCCTGAAGTGGACTTGGGTTTGATTCCCAGCACACACATCGTGGCAAAGAACCATTCTTAATGCCAGTTCCAAGGGATCCGACACCCTGTTCTTACCTTCATGAGCCCTGCATGACACAAGTGCATGTACACACATGCAAGCAATACACTCATACATATATAATAAAAATAATAACTGAAAAAACTCAGTGTGAGATTTAACTGTTATAGTGCATTTTATTATTTTAACTGTTATAGTGCATTTTATTATTTTGACTGTTATCATGTATTTTATTATTTTAACTGTACTGTCTTGATTTTTATACTGCACTTTATAAAGTTTCAGTGTAAATTAATATTCTTGTACCTTGTTATTTTCACTGGGGATTTCCTTGGCAGTCCTAGAAAAGAACAAAATCTTTTCAGATGAATGTCAAATATGCAAAACACAAAGAAACTGATTTATTTCTACTATCTATAATATTTATTTCCTATTTCAATTACAATAATTTTATATAGGAGAATTCAACTCTAACAAGGAAGAATTCTATTAAGGGACAAATTTATTACTATAACCACAATATAAAGAATAATTTAGATATAACAATCAAATAGTTAATGCAAACCCTCCTTTTTATAGAAATAACACCAAATTTCTCTGGACTTGTTAGAGTTAAAACAATTTTTGGCCCATAAAACTCACTTTAAAAGCATTGCTTCTAATATAAGGAGAACACTTGTGAAAACATGAAAGGAGTTACATTTTTTTCAATACTATGAAATTGCTACTCATATTCTAAGCATTGAACTTGTGCTAAACTTACTACAGTCCTCACAAGAATATATAAGTATTGAAGAAAGGTAGAATCCAAATAAAGGAAGATCAGGGAACTTGCCCAATCCCAGGATGATTTGAATGGCAGACCTAGAATTCAAATCCAGAAATTCTGTCTCCACACTTGTTTTATATGGTACTGTGGAAAGTAATACTTATCTTCAATCAGGTCGATGGGGCATGTGTCTTTGGAGAGGATATATATCATACAGTGATATAAATGGGACAGAGGAATAATGGGATAGGATTGGTTGAACTGGGTGGGATATGGTTATATAGGGCAGAAAATGGAGTAAAATGAGGGACAACTAACACCAGAGGTAATTTGAAATATTTGCACAGAAACCTACATTAGAAGATACTTTCAATATATACATGTATAATATAAAAAGAATTTAAATGTAGTTACCCTGCAACATATGTTCAGTGGCCCTAATAGAACCCACAAGCTAACAAATGAAAAATACAATTCTCTTTTAGAGCAGTTGGCCAGAGAGATCCACAAACACTGACCACTGGCTACTGCCATTGTACTTGGTACCCACAAGAACTGGATGGTAAGACCCTAGTATTGAAGACACTGTATACTTGAGTCACAGTACAAACAAGGAGAAAACATTCTAGTATTGATTTTAAACCTTCATCTCTGGCTAGCTTTCAGAGTAATAGGAGGTACTATACATGACACTGACAGAGAAATGTAATCATCAACCTTACATATCTCTGAACTCAGTGAGCTACAGTAACAATTGACTAGGCAGAATATATCCACCGGTGCAATAAGGCATGGATTTTATGGTAGTAACCAACCACTTCACAACAGGTAACCATACCCTGCACTTTTATCAGGGCCAAGAACCTGTGACTAGACAGGAGAGGGTATAGGGGAGGACCTACTACTGTCATTCTGCTGAATAGCTATACTATGAAAGTAACTTATGATGTGTTATTCTTGATACCCATAGACCAAGAAGATGGCAATTAGCACAGACATCCACAAATGGTCAACATGCAGAGAATGAAAGACTTCAGGGTGTTCTGTCCTAAATGTAATGATTATATTGTACCTTCTCCCCCAAATGTTCAGGGATCTTTGTAGAAGTGAGGATGATATAAGAGAAAGACATGGTTGATGAATGCAAGAAAACTGTTGTCTGGATGCCACAGGGTAGTTTCAGATAATGAACCCACAATGCTCGTGACAGCATACACAAGAATTGGGAAAAAAAAATCTAGACAGCAGCCCAATGTGAATGGGGAAGTGAGCAGGAAGCCCGAGTCCTTGATGAGGTTCTATTAGCAGTTGAACAAAACTGAGAGAGGTAGTCAGTTTTCCCTATTCATGTGATGCCCGTTAGCTTGTCCACACTCCAAAGGAGAGACCCACACCAAAAATTATTTGAGAAACACAGATTAGATTCAATAGACCTAAATAAATGACAAATAATAATAGAGAACATGAGGTGGGGTGGGGTTGTAGGCAGTGTTGGAGAGTGAGAGAAATCTAAATATAGACAAAATACATTGTAGGACATTCTCAAATAAAGTATTAAAAGTAGAGTATTACCAAAAGAATGATAAAAGGAGACATAATGAAAATAAAAATAGTAGTGAAAAAGTGCAATAATAATAACAGTAATATAAAGCAACAGAAAAAATTAAATATACTTAGGCAATTTTTGAACCTGATTCCATAAATTAAACAATAACATACATAATTCATATACATTCATGTATTCAGCAATACTGATTGAATACATGATACATGTCAATGACAAAGTTGTTGTCTCATTGCTGGAGAGGCAGAGATAAGAATGTCACTAGAGCTTCCCAGCCAGTCAGCCTCACCCACTTGGTGAGAGCTAGTAACCATGAGGGTAAAGGGAAAGAAGGAACCTGAGAGAGAAGAATAGTAGGAGAAAGGTGTTACTAAGGGAGAAATATGCAAAAAGAGGGTAGTTAAGGAGAGGTGGGAGAGGGGGACTATACAAAGAACTATGGGAATAAAGGGGGGAAAAAATTTTCCAGATATAGAGTAAAAAAAAAAAAAAATCGGGGCTGGAGAGGTGGCTCAGTGGTTAAGAACACTGTTCTTGCAGAAGACCTTGGTTCAAATCCCAGCAACCACATGGCGGCTAAAAAATGTCCATAACTCCAGTCCCCAGGGATCTGACAGCCTCTTTGACCTCTGAGGGCATTGCATGGCACATGTGCACTTACCTATATGCAGGCAATACATGCATACACATAAAATAAAAATAATTCTAAAAAATAAAACAAAAATATTTCTAAGAAATATTGGAGCCTGCTTTCAGTAAACATTAATAGATATTAGCCATCAATTTAACACTATTGATGCATTCAACAAGAACTGACTGAGCACATGATACTGTCAAAGACAATCAGTATAGGGAGACAAGGTCTTTTTTTGCTTAGAACTTTGTAGCTCAAAAATAGCAATTCATGCTACATTGTCAATTGTTTACTTTTCTGATTTTCATAATCCAAATTCCTCCTTTTTCCTCCGCTTCTTTACGATTAAGCTATCACATGCGATGCAATTATAAGCCTAGCTGGATGATTCAAATATATTCAGCATAACTGGTGTGCTTGTATGTTTTCTTTCGTATGCATTTTGAAAAGCTACACAGGACAGATTGCCTTTCAGATCATAGTTTCCATGTTGAATTAGATGAAGATATACTATTTCTGAAATGAACAAGAAGTTCTTATGCAGAAATACAGAAAGGAATAATGGTTCTAAGGAACATTAAACGGTATAAATTCTCAAAGACCATATAGAAAGATTTCTAATGCTTAGTTGTGTAAAAAAATTAAACTGAATAAACATGATCTTCTCTGTTGCTTCAATCTGCAGCAGGCAACATTCTAAAAGCATTCATTTAAAAGTAACAAAAACTTGAAAAAAATTATCTTATGAATATGGCAATTTTACTATTTTAATGACCATTTAGAGGATCTCCAGTTTTCTGTCATTATGCTGTTCTGACATCCTCAGCATGGATGCATTCAGAATATAATTCTGTAAATATGTTTAACATGTACATTATATAGCCTTGGATGTGAATGCACATAAACACATGTAGGGTATTTACACTCATCTATGTTACATTACTGATAAAATACATTAAAGTTTTAAACACTTATTTGCATGCAAATCTTCATCATTTTCCTGCTTCAGAATGATTCAGTTAAGAATTGAAGCAATTAGATTAACTCATTGCTATATTTGAAAACTGAATACAAACTGCTGGGTGTGGTGGTGCAAGCCTTTAATCCCAGCACTTTGGAGGCTAAGGCAGGCAGACCTCTCCTGAGTTTGAGGCCAGTCTGGTCTACATAGAGATTTCCAGGCCAGCTGGGGCTACAGGGAGACCCTGTCTCAAAAAGACCAAAAGGAATAAAAAAAGAAAATTGAACACAAACTATACTAAATTACTCTTTGCAACCTATTTACCAATTTCACTTACTAAAAATGCTTGAGAATTCTTTTTCTCACATTTGCTAACTGTGTTTATGATTTTAATAAAATGCATCAACTAAGTTGGAAACAACAGTTTCAGACTGTTTCTTAATTTCTTAAAATTGTGCAATACTGAATGTCTCAGGGAGAACTGCATAAAGCATGCCAACTGCTTATGTGATGTTTATAGGAGAATAGTACCCTCTGTTAAATATTACTGTAGTCTTACCCATTACATTCTTGGTTTACTGCAACAGGAATTTGCTGGTCTTCTACGTTTCCTTTTTGTCCTTGTAGAATCAAACCCTCAGCACCCTGATTCAGGGTTTCTGATTTGTCTGTCACATTTCTTCTCTGTTTCTCTTCTTCTGTGGTGTCTGATGAAAACTTCATAAGAGTAACCAATGCTTTTCAATATAAAGAACCTTTTGTTTTCATTAGTTTTATTACTTCACTCATTTTCTTTTTAATTTTTTATTCAATCTTTGTTATTTTATTCACTCTAATTTGATGGCATTTAGATCCCTTCCCTTATCTGCACCTTCCCTTACTCCCCCTCGATGTCTTGCATCCTAAGCTTGCACATCAGACCAGATGATTGAGCTCCTTAGAAACCTGCACACGGCCCTCACCTTCTGCTCACTCCCAAGCCTATCTTCAGTCAGGCATTAGTGCAGAAGTGAAGCCTGGCGAGTTAGCTAGCACCTCGCTCACCCCACTGGTGTTTCTACATTCCAAGGCCTACCTTGGGTCTTGTAGCTCCTGCACAGAACCAGCCCCTTGAGTACCCAAAAACCTGCCACCACCCACCATCTTCACATTCCCACACGTAGTTATAATAGTGAAGCCTGTGAGCCAGCCCAAGAAGATCCAGCCTAGAGTTACAACTTCACTTTGTTCCTTACTAATGAGTCTGAATCATCCCTGTTCCTCCAATCAAAAATTATCATTGAGTTTCTGAAAGATTGACCTGCTAGCTGGTCATACCTCTGTGAAATCAACCATGCTTGGGCAAAAAGAAAAACAAGGTCATACTTCAACACAACAAAAGCAGCCTAGAATTTCATATCTGACCAACCAATGAAACAAGACTGTATGCTCAGAACACATTGTCAAAACACAATTTGAAAGGTCAAGACACTATGCCTCCCCTTCAATCCCACAGACCTACACAAATGCTACACAATGAGAATTACCAAGATGAACCCTAAGACACAAATTTAAAAGAACAACCATAAACATTGTGGTAGAAAACTTCACTTGTCAACTTGACACACCTGGGAAAAGGGTATTTCATTAGATTTTCCTGCATAAGAGTGGCCTATGGATAGTTCTGTGAGGCATTTTCTTGATTGTTGAGTGATGTGTAGACCCCAGCCCACCATTTGTGGAGCTACCCCTGAGCAGGTGCTCCCAGGTTGCATAAGAAAGCAGGTTGAGTACAGGCCATGGGAGAAAACCAGTAAGCAGTGCTCTTCCATGGTCTATGCTTCACTTCCAGCTTCAGGTTCTGGCCTTGAGCACTTTCCCTGAATTTCCACAGTGATGGATTATAACCTGGTGTTGTAAGCTGAAGTAAAGCCTTTGCTACCCATGCTGTTTCTGGTAATGATATTTATTACAGTGATGGAGAAGCAAACTAGGATAAAGTTTGTTATCAGAATTCTGGAGTACTACTGTGATGGATCTGAACACGTTGTTTTAGGAAACAAACAATGGTGGTCAGTTGAAGCCTGATCTCAGTGATGGATTATAACCTGGTGTTGTAAGCTGAAGTAAAGCCTTTGCTACCCATGCTGTTTCTGGTAATGATATTTATTACAGTGATGGAGAAGCAAACTAGGATAAAGTTTGTTATCAGAATTCTGGAGTACTGCTGTGATGGATCTGAACACGTTGTTTTGGGAAACAAACAATGGTGGTCAGTTGAAGCCTGATCTGTGAAGTTTCATAAGGAATCAAAAAGGACTACCAAGGTCATTTTCATGATGTATTTGAATTAAGAAGCTATTGAAGTTGGGCTGGAGAGATGACTCAGCAGTGAAACGCACTGGCTGTTCTTGCAGTGGACCTGGGTTTGATTCCCAGCACCTACATGGAGGCTAAAAACTGATAGTAACTCCAGTTACAAGTGAATCTGATGCCCTCTCCTGTCTTCCACAGGAATCGCATGGCATGGGTGCAGCTACATACATGCAGGCAAAACACACATACACATAAAATTAAAATCATAAATAAAATATTTTTAAAAAGAATCTAAGGAAGTGAAATATTTGTGTTAACTGGCACAATTGATACCAGTAAGCTGGGGTTGAAAGCTGTGAGCAACAGAAGACCATCATCATGAGGTTAAATCTTCTGGGAAATACTTCTTCAGGATCAACACACAGAAGCTGTGGTACAGAAGGGGACAAGGCTAGACTATTTATCACAGTAAAAGGGAATGGAAATTTTTCCATGATAGGGAATATACTGAAAGAATTCATGTCTACCAAATCATCCCTACAGTGAATACTCAAAGCAATCAATACAAAGGACAGAAGAGAGGAATGAGTATACTCAAGAAGTTACAGAAAGAAAACAGAGAAAGGTATAATAATGGAAACACAAAATGAGACCACAAACAACAAGAAGTTAAAATTACAGTATCCCACACACATCTTTCAATAATAACATGACATATCAATGGCCTCAACTCCCTGTCTAAATGCACAGGCTGGCGGAACAGATCAAGAAAAACTAAAACCTATCTTTTTCTTTTCTTCAAGAAACTCATCTCACCTTCAAGAATAGACAATATCTTAGATTTAAAGAATGGAAAAATATTACAAGCAAATGACTCTAAGATGCAAGCAGTGTTGCAGTTCAAATATCTGACAAAATGGACCTCAAATTAAAACTAATCAGAAAAGATTAATCAAATAAATTCATTCTAATCAAAGGAAAAATTGATACAGGGATGGTTCAATATATATGAGTCAATAAATATATTAAAGTACATAAATGGATGTAAATACAAAAACCACACGGTCATCTCAATACATGAAGAAAATGCCTTTGACAAAATCCAGTATGCATTCTTCTTAACGGTCTTAGAAGGAATTGGTTTGGAGGGAACATCAATTTACAAAAACCATTAGCCTTTCTATATACCAATAACAAGCAATCAGAATAAGCAATCAAGGAAACCTACCTCATCACAGAAACCTCAAAAAAATATTTAGAAACAAACCTAACCATAGACATTAAATATCTCCATAATGAATATTTTAAATCTTTAAAGAAAGAGATAGAAGAAGACACTAGAAGATGGAAAGACCTATCAGGCTCATGGATTAGTAGACTTAATATTGTGAAAATGACCATCCCACCAAAAGCAATCTATAATTCAATGCAATACTTTTGGGTAGGCATGTCCTCTGAGATAGTCACTCCTCCCACCCAATCAGTCAGCTTTAATTGTGTGAGGGGGATGTTCTAAAGACAGACACTAGGAAACACTGAGGACATGGGGAAGCACCAAGGAGGAGAGAGCCACCATTTGTGTGAGGCACACAGATCAAGGTGGGATGTGGTGCTGATGGAGCAGATCTCAAGCTTAGCCAAGATGTGGGAGAAAAACGGCCCACAAGCATGAATGCCTTTGTAAGTCACCCTCTCCCAGACATCATAAACTATGCAAAAACCCAAATAGATGGTATCCTGTCAGTTTTGTCAGCCCGGGGATCCCAGAGAGAGTGTGAAGGTCTCTGGGGGGAGGTGGGGAATTTGGTGAAACAGATGCCAATCAAAATATCCATGGGATTCTTCACAGAGCTATAAAAAATCATGCTAAAATTCACATGGAATCACAAAAGACCTTGGATAGCAAATGAAAACTTAGGCAAAATGAACAATGCTGGGGGAAATTGCCATACCAGATCTCAGGTTATATTATAGAGGTATAATCATAAAAACAGCATGGTACAGGCACAAAAAATAGACACCTAGATCAATAGACTACAATAGAAGACCCAAGCATGAGTACATGTAATTTCAGCCACCTGATAGTTGGCAAATTTGCTAAGAATACACAATGGAGCAAAGGCAGCATCTTCAACGAGTGGTGCTGGCAAAAACGATCTCCACCTGTAGGAAAATGAAATTGAACCCTTATCTTTCACCCTTCACAAAAGTCAACTCTAAATGGATCAAAGACCTCAATATAAAACTTGAAATTCTGAAATTGCTAGAAGAAAACATAGGCCTCTGAAATATAAGCATAGTTAAGGACTTTCTAAATTGGACATCAGCTGCTAAGACACTAAGATCAACAATCAACATGTAGACCTCATTAAGCTACAAAGCTCCTGTACAGCAAAAGAAACAACCAAGGAAGAGAAAAGGAAACCCATTGAGTGGGGATAAAAAACATTTTCCAGGTACACATCTCACAGAGGATTAGTATCCAGAATATATAAAGAACTCAATACACAAAGAAACAAGAAAAAAACAACCCAATAAAAAGATGGGCTGTAGACCTGAGCAGAGGGTTCTCAAATGAAGAAATTACAATGTCTCGAAACACCTTAAAAAGTGCTCAACATCCTGAGAAATTAAAGAAATGCAGATAAAAGCCACTTTAAGATTTCCTATTATCCCAGTCGTATTGGCTGAGACCAAGGGAATAAAAGACTCCAAATGCTGGTGAGAATGTGGAGAAGGGGGAACGAATGCTTATTCACTGCTGGTGGAAATGCAAAGTTGTGCAACCACTTTGGAAAGCAGTGTAGAGAGCTCCCAAAAAGCTAAAATTGAATCTACCATATGATCTAGTTATACTAGGCCTTGGCATATACCCAAAGGACTCGTCCTACTATAGAGATACCTGCACACTGCACATCCATGTTTGTTACTGCTTTCCTCACAATAGCTAAGAAATGGGAACAACCTAAATGTCCCTCAACTGATGAATCTATAAGCAGTTCTAGTCAGGAGTGAGAAAAGATGAAATGTGCATGTAAATATATGGAACTACAGAGTGTTATACTAAGTGAAGTAACATACCCTGAAAAGCAAATGACCTATGTTCTCCCTCATTTGGGGAACATAGCAGCACTCCCTTATATGTGAGTATATATCCTGATATAGCATCAGGAGCCAGGAAAATGGAAAGGAAACATGGAGGCAAAGGAAAAGAAAGAACCTGAAGATGGAATAGGAGGGAACAGATGGTATGTGGCGGGGGGGGTGCGGGAATGTTCAGCTGGGAAGGGATGAGGGAAGACCATGCAGAGGGCCATGGTGGGGAAGAAGGGAACTCAGAAGAAGGGGGATGGCAGGAGGCAGGTGTTATTGGGAGGAGGGTGGGGATAATGAGGCACTTAGCTTGGGGAGGGAGGAGGGAG